CTCAGTGAGATGGGTACTCATTTTACTGACTCAGAAGTTTGGAAAGCTGAGTCAACCTTGAACTGGCTAACTGGATCCATTTGGATCGAATTCAGGGCATGAGCAGAGGCTTGACAGCAGTATTGCAGTTTAAACACTTCTGCTGTATAAACAGAATGCTGTGCCAGGTAGGCCTTTGGCCACTGCCACAATTTTCTAGAAGAGTGATAACTCTTCACATTCAAATTCACCTGGCTCGCTACAAAATTGTTCCTCTTCAACAAAAGCCTCAGAGAGTGCAAAATAACCTCCCAAGCACAAGAGGAAATAATTAACACCAGACCTTGGTTATTTACAACAAATGTTTCAGTACCAGACAGTTCAGCTGAGCTACTGCCAGCAGACACTGTTATTCTGTTATTAAAAGCGGGGGAAAGAAATTTTGGTACAGCAGAAGTCACATCCTGACATCTATCGCCTGTGAGATCTTTGTCCAGCTGTAACACCCACAAGGGAAGACATGAAGCCGGGATTTTATTTCAGCCATCGCCCCCTCAATTGGCTCATTATTCCTTATGCAATGCCTGAGCAATAACCCCAAATAAACTCATATCTGAAGCTGCTAGAAAAATCTTTGGCTAGCTTTCCCTGTCAGCAGTTTATTTACAAACATACACTTTCAATAATACTGCTTCCACACTTTATGAAAAGCGATCTTGTGCACATTGCAAAGCATGCATCTGAATGAATGCTACCATCACAAAAGCGATCTATGGATTATTTGCAACTTTCGGATCTGGGTCTCTGGGCGGCTTACAGGCTTATCTCAAGTACATTCTTTTTTTAAAAAAAAATCCATCGGGACTGTGGAGGACTGTTTGTCACACCGAGAAGAAAACAGAAAGAAAGCCCAGCATCAATCAAGGTTCTACTGTGTTTTATGCTGTGACATGACCTGTTAAGAGTAGAATAACAGCATTTTACCAATGGGTTGGTAACATTCACTGAAACGACTAATTCATTCAACAAAATGAAACAAAAATCTTTCTGCTTGGCTTCACTTTTGGGATAGCGATTGAGACTTTCAGCACCAGAGACCCAACATCCACCTTCTTTCTTTTCCATACACACACATATCTGAAAGGCATATATTCTCCAAAGCCACACAGATGGCAGGTTAAGACACAGCCTGCTTTCCCCTGCTTTAATAGGGAGAGTACCCTATCCAAGATCTCAACAGCTCCTGTTTCTTCTGCTCAAAGGACTCCTCTTCCCACATGGGACAGAGAATCCACATTCAGGCTTAACAACTACACTGCTATCTATGCTTGTGTTAAGATTGGGAATGATGGCAAGGATTTGGTCTTTTTGAACTACACTGCCATCTATGCTTGTGTTAAGATGGGGAATGATGGCAAGGATTTGGTCTTTTTGGCCATAAAATATACTCTGCTAACAACCAAGTCTCTGCACCGTTTTTGCCTTCCAGCATCAGGGACATGAGATGCTCCGGCCAATTTGCACCAGTCCTGAAATTTACTACTCACTTTGCTCTCACAGGGCGAACAGCGGTTCTTCCTGACAAGTGACTGAAGCCCGCCTCTCGCTTGACGGGGCAAGCAGCTCAAAGGGCAACACAGAACTAACTGCATGTATTAATATAAAAAGAAGATTGTGATCCATGGTCACTGTGTCAGGTTGTACATCTGGTTCTCCATCTCCTCATTTCAGGACTAATAAGCATAAAATGAAAGAGACCCACACGTTTGCCTGGCACAGTCATGACAACAGCCACTTCCTTCCTTGTGCTGCTGCTGCTTCTAAGACACGTACTGTAGTGGCTGAGAAGTGGCCCTCCATCCCTCTTGGCTGGAGCAAGGAAGAAGAGCAAGATACCACTTCCCCCCTTTGTTTCTCCTGTTCCTGTACCTATAAAGCAGGTATGGGCATCTTGCCGCCCCAAAGTCACACATGGCCACCAAGCTGTTTTTCACAGCTTGCCAAATACTACATAAAGTACTATGTAAATGTCTCAAGCTGCCAGGCCTGTGTAGAGGAAGGAGTGACAGAGGTGGGGGACAGACAGGGAATGAGAAGGCAACCGTAGCTTCAGGAACCACTTACAAACAGGCTCTGCACAAGGAGAGGACAAATGTCAGGCTTCCAGATGATCCCTCTACTGAACAAAAGGGAGGTTCACTGAGGCCACCACCACAGCCCTGTAAATATGAAAGCAGCCCAAAGCTGCCTCTGAAATGGATTGGGGTCAGGCCTTTTAAACCAGCATTTTTAACCTAACCCAGAAGCCTGTTTTAAATTCACTTATAATCAAACAAATTCTGCTGTCTGATACAACCTGTCTCATTAAAACCACGTTTGTAACAAAGGCACCAAATTTTAAAAGAGACTGAACAAAGTTAGCACCATTCACCCCTGAAACTCAAACAAGCTGCCAGCAACAGCAGAGCCCTGCTGACTTGGGAGATCTAAAACTCTGTTCAAAGAAACACCATAAAAGCAGACATGAAGATGAGCATGGAACAGAAACTATATGGTACAGATGAAATGGAAATCGTTTGTAACAAAGGCACCAAATTTTAAAAGAGACTGAACAAAGTTAGCACCATTCACCCCTGAAACTCAAACAAGCTGCCAGCAACAGCAGAGCCCTGCTGACTTGGGAGATCTAAAACTCTGTTCAAAGAAACACCATAAAAGCAGACATGAAGATGAGCATGGAACAGAAACTATATGGTACAGATGAAATGGAAATGCTACTTTCCATAAGAAGCAAAAGCATTAAGATGGTAGTATTGTGTCAAGAAGCCTTCTTTTAAAATCTATTTCTTGTGAAATGATCCAGATCTTGAAATGCTGAACTTTCATCATTCATATCTGTGAAAATTCCCAGTCATCCAGCTGTGGTTATCTGGAATTTGAATCATGTTAGGCTGAAATGTTTTGTTACTCATCCAAATAGCTTCTTCAGTCTGAGGTGTCATCAGGATGCTAAACCACAGAGCAAGAAACATCCCCACCTCCATAGAAGCCAAGAAGGAGGGAGATGGACATCTGAGGACAGCCCTTAAGGCTTGTGGATATCCAAAATGGGCCTTTAACAAGGAAATGTCCCAACCCAGGAGGACAATGGAACAGTCTGAGACCCAGAGCCGAGGGAAGAACCTGGCCATTCCTTACATGGCCATTGTATCTGAAAAGCTTAAAAAAGATTTTTGGTAAACACCACATACCCATGCACCTCAAACCCACAAACCCACAAAGGCAGAGACTCATCCACCCAAAAGACCAGATATCAAAACACAATAGGAACAATATAGTATATGCAGTCCAATGCAAAGAGGAGTGTTCAGAGCTCTACATTGGAGAAACCAAACAGCCACTAAACAGGAGAACAGCCCAGCACAAGAGAGGCAATGGCTCAGGACCACCATCAGCAGTGTTCCTTCATTTGGAGGACAAAGGACACTCATTTGATGACCAAGATGTACTCATTTTGGACCAAGAAGAGGGGTTAGGGAGGCCATACATGTGCATATAGAAAATCCCTCACTCAACAAGGTGGAGGCCTTAGATACAATCCGTCTCCCATTTATCCTGCTGCTCTTTCATCCATCCCCAGAAAGATCAGGGCCACACACACCAGAAAGACGACTGTTGATGATCGCTAACGACTCACAATAATGAGTGGAAAAGGACTGCAGAAGTGGGATTATCCCTCACCCTCAGTCCTTCTTCTAACGAGCCTATTCAGACCAGGGGGAAGTGAAACCAAGGTGGAGGATATATCAGGGATCTCCTACCAATTCTCCTCAGACTGAAGAAGCTACTTGGATGAGGAGCGAAACGTTTCAGTATAACAAGAAAGAAGTCCAGTTGCCATGACTCAACTTCCAGATTTCACCATTCATGTAAAGCAATTCTGTGCTTGATCCATCATCCATGAACATTTCCATTTGACTCTAACCTGGACAAGTCCTGAGCTGTGTCTGTAGACAGAAAAAACTCACTTTCCTCCTCTTGCAATAGCTCTACATGGCCTAAGTACAACTAAACACATGAGCTTCCAAGCATTGGTGAATGCTTTTCACAGAGTCATTAAGCAGAAGAGGAAAAGGTACAATGAGTTGGTCAAAAACTTGGGAGCATTACATCACAAGGATCAAGCTACCCAGAAATGATACTAAAGATAATAGTGGCCGGTTACTGAAAGAATGAAACAGTTGGAAAAAACACCAACATTCTGGGGTTGAACAGAATTCCACTGAATTTGCCAATCTAAAATTAGTGATATAAGTAGCAAGCATGGTAATTCCAAAAATGCTATAATGAAGGAAACTGAGGAAACAGAAGGGAGGGTAAAATTAAAGAGAAAACAAGCAACAGAAAAAGAGAGAGGGGATAGAAAGCCATCAAGTACATACCTCCTAATGCAGAATAAGCAGAGACAGCCAGTCACAGAACAGAAAGGTGATAGGTCATAGGCCAAAAGGAAAACAAGAAGGCACATTTAAACCACTCATTAAAAATTATAGCAAAAAATCAAACCAACAGAAATACACAATGGAGAAAAAATAAAGACATACAGGAATACATTTTGAAAGAGAGAGGTACACTCTTTTTGTGTGTGCATCCAATCCCTACTTGTGAAATTATATTCTAGCACTCTTTAGAACAATTTAAAGTAATTGAATGGTTATCCATCCATCTCATATGTGTAAAAAGGGCACAGACTCCCTTCTACTGAGATGCTTAATCCTTCAAATGCCAGAAACTGAATTGCACTCAGATTTCCAAATTTGTAACTGAGAACAAGGAGACATTGAAATATCAATAAAGGAAAAATAAGTAGAGTGGATGGCAATATTTTCACAAAGAATATTTTAGGCAGAAATTAATACTAAATCCATTGCACTAGATTTTCAACACAGCAGTGGCAAAGAGACAAGGATCAGGTACATGTTAATACTGACAGCAAAGTGGGAAAGAATTTACCTACTGACCTAATTTTAACAGCCATCCTTCTCGGTCTGGGTTAAAAAACGTATGGGTTAAATCGTTCCCATCATCCTCTGGAATTTTAAAAGGTTCATTTTTAATGCTTTCATATAAATTCTGGAAGAAAACAGGGGAAAAGGTTTAATCCTACCGCCAGACTTGCAAGGCCTGGCCATGAGATTCTGTTGAAAGTCTTCAAAACAAAAATTAAAGTCACCTAATTTTCCAAGTAACAATGTGCATCATCATATATGCAAAGCATTTTTCACTTTAGCAGACATAAGCACGATTTGCTCAACGGACAGTTCTGAAGCAGTGAAAAATGAAAGCATGGTTTATATCGACAGGTTACCCACCTGTAATCGTAGTTCTTTGAGTGGACCTCTGTGATTCACACTCTGGGTGATTCGTGCCTGTGCGGAGCCTCATCAGAAGATTCTAGCGCTTCTGGGGTAGCAAGGAACACATTACAATATGCCCCTCCCCACCCATATAAGTACCTTGGTGCCAAGCGTCCCCTTTCAGTTGTGTCAACCGCCGCTTAATAGTAAGCAAACAATGGCGTGACAGAGGGGAGGACAGGCGGGATGTGTGAATCACAGAGGTCCACTCAAAGAACTACAATTGCAGATGGGTAACCTGTCGTTCTTCTTCGTGGCCTCTGTGAATCACACCCTGGATGACTAATAAGCTGTCTTACCCGGAGGCAGGGTGTCACGTCAAAGTTGAGGCTAGAACAGCATGTTCAAATGCCACATCAGAGTTCTGCTGGAGGTCGAGTCTATAATGACAGATAAACGTGAACGACTGTGCCCAAGTGGCAGATGCGCAGACATCTGGAAGAGGTACGCCGCGGAGAAAGACTGTAGAGGCTGCCACTGCACTGGTGGAGTGAGGGTGAACCACTCTAGGGGCTGGTTGCCAAGCAAGTTGATAAGCCAAATGAACGGTAGAGGCGACCCATCTGGAGATAGATTGGGATGTCACCTGACGGCCTTTTGTAGGTAGCTGATGGCTCGAGATGACAGTCTAAAAGGCTGGGTACGTTGGAGACAAAAAGCAAGAGCTCTTCTGACATCCAACGTATGGAGTATTTTTTCTTGAAGAAGGCGATGGAAAAAATGAAGGAAGGACAATCAGCTGGGAAAGATGAAATTGAGAGACAATTTTGGGGAGGAAGGAAATGTCCATGAATAATTTCACCTTATCAGGAAAAAATGTAAATAAGGGTAGTCATAACATAAAGCTGCCAATTCACTAGCTCATTGAGCGGAGGTGAGAAGCATCTCCTTTCTTGGCTACAAGAAAAGCTGTTTTAAAGGTGAGGAGTCCTAAGTCAGTTGTAGCTAAAGGCTGAAAAGGAGCTTTGTTAAGCTGTTTCAAAACAAGAGTTAGCTACCACTGTGGAGAGGGGGCCGAGTATCGAGGCAGATATGAGAGAGACCTTTCAGAAAATGTTTCGTTGTTCTATGTTTGACGAAGTCTGCTGCTGGAGAATTTGGAGGTTGGTATTATATTATTGCCAAAAGGTAGACTCTCAAGGATGAGATGGAAAGGCCCTTGGATTTGAAATGTAGGAGGAAGCAGAGAACAGTGGAAAGTGATGGATTGATGGAGGATGATGAGGAAGATTTGGTAAAGGATTGAAATTTCTTCCATTTGTACAGGCAGGCTTCCCTTATGAATGGTTTTTTGACATGATGAAGAACATTCATTAACGAGGGAGAACCCTCCACGCTGCCAGGTGCAGAACAGGTAAGTCCAGGGGGTAGGACTTGGGAGTTGTTCTGTGTGAAAAGGTGTGGCAGGTGGGGGAGATGGTGGATGTCTGATGAGAGACTGCGGAGAACTGGGAACCAAGTCTGTCTCGGCCACCAAGGGACTATAACGATGGCATTGATTTTGTCTTGTTGTAGACAGAGAACAACTTTGTGGAGGAAATGGAATGGCAGAGAAAGGTAGGTAAGAGTCTTGGGCCATCGGCCCAATTTTACTCACAGAAAGAAACTGAAAGGGGACGCTTGGCGCCAAGGTACAGGTGGGGAGGTGCATATTCAAATGTGTTCATTGCTACTGACGAATCTTCCGACGAGGCTCCACGCAGGCGCAAATCACCCAGGGTGTGATTCACAGAGGCCACGAAGAAGAACCACAATATGCAAAACATGTTCGACCATTCAGGGCACACCAGGATAATATGTAGATCAAAATATTACATTTTAGCTCTGAGAAGCATCTCCTTCGCAGAAAATGAAAGAAAAATAAAGACAAATGATATACTTCTTCTGAAAGTGGAACTTTCTTGTTGAAGATTGCTAGAAAAAGCATCCACTATCATCTACTCGTAAGACATACACTGACATGAGAAGACAGATAAGCATTTTGCCAGGAGAATACAAGGATGCTGTGAAGTTAACGAAGTCATAAAAACAGTCTTTATTTTATTTTATGTACATCACATTTATAGGCCAATTTTCCTCCAACAAGCTCAGATGGTTTACAGGGCTATTCTCCATTTTTAACCTCACTAGAAACCTCTCGGGGATGTCAGTGACTACATAAAGATCACCCAGTTAATTTGTTTAGGTCAATGGACATTATGGCTCACATCTTTCTTTCTTTCTTTCTTTCTTTCTTTCTTTCTTTCTTTCTTTCTTTCTTTCTTTGCTTATATGCCACTGACTTAGTGCTGAGCACTATTCTAAGTGGTTTACAACAAAATAGTGGACAGAAACCCCAACCACCCAAGAAACCAACAGAAAACAACCCTACGTGGACACGGTAACGTTTGCCTCTCGTGCCCCATTTGTCTCCCCAAAACAGAGAGCTCACAAAGGCAAAACAAACAAAAACACCTTTGCACACGCCACCACCAGTTGATTTCTTCATCAACGTACTTTAGTTAGGAAAGACAAAGGTCCATTCATCACTGTCTTTTGAATAAAACAGGTTTGTTACAGATGTTTCCATTATAATTCATAAGTATCTTCTTCAGGTTCATCAAGCATCAATATCAATCTTCTATATTATCTCACAAGTTACTATTCACTCCTCAGACTAATCACACCTCAGATCTCTCAACTATACATCTCTCTCTCCAACTCTGATCCAGACTGTAAACTAAACTCCTCCTCTCTGGCTCTGCCTTTTAACATCTCTAGTGGCCCCACCTCTCAACCACATCAGCATAAAACATGAATAATGCACAACTTATTTAACATAATAAGGCTGAATGCCACAGACACATATAATAAATACCTAACATACCAACTGATGGCAGACTCTAGGAAACACAAATAGGAATAAACTTAAGGGATTATACCCCTGAATGCTTCTCTGAACAATATTATCTTCAGCATCCTTTTAAAGGATGGGACACAGAAGGCCTGAGAGTGCTGAAGATGGTATTGGAGCAGAACTGATGAATTTGTTTTTTGGCCCCACATCAAAGCAAGAAGTCAAAAGGCTTGGCATTTTGTAAAAGCATCTTACCCGTAGCAATTCTTCTGGAAGGTCCCCACCCTCGTTAATACCTCGATTCATCGATATAAACCTTTCCACAGTTGGTTTGTCTCTTACATTGTGGTTGTGTAGACTAGTGTTTAACATAATGATTGCAAAAGAGAGTACGTAGCATGTATCTGAAATGCAACATCAAAGCAGAATGAATACTCTGCACAGCACCTCATAAACCAGCCCCTTAAAAGCACTCTCTCCTACCCCCATAATCCCTAGCAAAAAGTGCAGCCATACTTTAGAAAACAGAGTTGTTAACTTTTAACAGAGGCCAAGATTCAACCGTGTACATCAGTACTCAACGTTAGAGGAACAGGAAATCTTTTTCCCTTTCCCCTTTCACTAAACACCTCCATGGCAGCAAAAACCCACTCCAGAAGGTTTCTCAGACCTCCACAGCAGGATTTAGGGAATACAGGGCTGCATAGAGCCTCGTGGCACAGTGGTTAAACTGCTGTACTGCAGCCAAAACTGTACGCACGACCTGGGGTTCAATCCCAGGTAGCTGGCTCAAGGTTGACTCAGCCTTCTATCCTTCCGAGGTCGGTAAAATGAGTACCCAGCTTGTTGGGGAGGCAATGTGTAGCCTGCATAATTAACTTGTAAACCACCCAGAGAGTGCTTGAAGCACTATGGGGCAGTATATAAGCAGCACACTTTGCTTTTGCTTTGCTTTGCATGAAAAATATAAGTTACCAACAGTAGTAGAAGCAGCATAATCCACTATACTCGAGCATTCTACAGATAAGTTAAATTTACAGTATTAAAATTATTTGCCAAATTCCTATTGCTTAGCACAGCAAATCACACTACACTAGGCCCACTAAATCCATGGGAATTTCAAGAGTCAACCTTTATGTAAGTTCCACTGATTCAAATGGGCCTACTCTAACTGCAACTTGCTATCCGGTTTGCTGCCTTGCAATTCAAAACATTTCATTTTCTTCAGAGCAAACCACCGTTTCCCTTTAAATCTGAATCAGCGAACTTGCTCAAGATTCTAAACCAAACCAGGCTGCTCTCGGACACCATCAGAGTTCACACTTGCTCAGCCAGTAACAGACTTGTGCAAACATTGCCCTTATGCAAGCAGAGATGCCCTTTAGGAACACACAACTTAACACTTGGACAAGAAGTCCCGTAAGAATAAAACATCTCAAACTACAACCATCACATGAACAGTTCTACCAGAGAGGATCCTGCCAGGATCTGATGCTATTTTGCAAATGTAAACCACAGTTTGCTGATTCGTGTATAATAGCAAACTCTGGCTTCTGCTGAAGAGAAAGCAGCAAAGTGAATCAGAGCAGAAAAAGGCGAGAAGGAGCGCATAAGCACATCATTCTTCCCAGTTTGGCACTGCATTTGAACACATCCTTTCCTCTTTTAGTTAACGTCTTCTGCTGCTCCATAACATACTGTTCTCCGTGCCACTCCATCACGTGATAGTTACAGATTTCCAACGTATGCCCTGTCATCAATTTTTCCCAGACGTCAGGGGCTGGGAACTCAAATCCCATTATGCTT